TGGGTGGATGTTTGCTGGGGGCCTTCTCTGCAGTAGGCCCTCTCGGGTACATGGGCCGGGTTTCCCTGCACAGCTCCTGGCTGTGTGGAAGAGAGTGGGGGGCTCACTGCTGGGAAGAGAAGGCAGCTCAGAGGCCATCAGAAGTGGAGAGGGGGTAGGGGCTGTGATGGAGGGGGCAGGGAGGACAAGACCCAGAGGCAAAAGTTATCCATCGCCCCCAGGGAACTGGGGGAAGTCAGGTGCCCGCACCTCCCTCTCCCTTTCTGGTGCCCCTCCTTCCCTTCCCAGCCTGGCCCACCTGACACTGATCTGTAGGGCCTTGCACGCCAGGCAGTGGCCCAGAAGTCCCCCAGGGTCAGGGTGAATCTTTGGTTTAGAACAAACTCCCCCCCACCCAAAAAAAAAGAACACACTCACTCTGGGGGTCCAACCAGAGACCACCCGGCAGTCAAATGGCAGACCCGCTGGCGTAGGATGACGCTAGAGAGGGCAGGCCCCAGAAAGGCCAGGGCAGACTCACTTGGCTCTGTGGTTGTCCGGATGGAATAGAGGATGAGAGAGGTGCAGGGGCTGGGACCCTTCCTCTTCCGAGAGCTTATGAGGTGCCGGCATCACCCCACTTTCGAGAGGGCCCCGAGGTATCAGGGGCCACCAGAGCTGGGACTCAGAACCGGTGGGCTGCAGACCCATGTGGAGATCTGGGAAGACGGAGGGACGTGGGGCCGAGTCTGGGGGCAAGCTAGGTGTGGGTGTATGCCCAGTGGGGAGAGAAGGGCAGCAGGGGTCACCAGGCACTCCCAGCCCACCACATGGGGCGGAGGCTGAGACCTGTCAGAGCCCAAAGGGGACACCCCTTCCCCCGATCAGGGAGCCTTTAAGAAAGGGGGTGTGGGCCGGAACACGAGCAGTGCTGAGATGGGGCATGCCAATGGAGTTGGGGGGCTTCCCTAGAGCAGTGCGGTGAAATGGGTGGCAGCCATGGACACCAGAACCACCGAGGAAACATTAACCCCTCCCTGCCTAGAAGAGGGGACAGAGGCTCAAACACCAAGTGGAGAGAGACTACAGGGTTTCCATTGTTGGCAGATTTTAGGAAACAGATCACCAGGCCTTTCTTCCTGGTCACAGTCTGGAAGCTGAGTGTCTTTAAGCAAGGAACTTGACCCCTCTGAATGAAGCTCCACTCTCTCAACCACAAGAATGAGGCTGAGCAACTGGTCCCCGTGGGCGACCTGGTGGTTTTCAAAATGCCGGGGCAGAGCTTCCCACAGCATGAAAGCCACCAGAGCTCAATACTGAGGGAGGGAGGCTCCCTTTCCGAAGCCAACAAAACCACTGTGGTGGGCTCTGATCTGACTCCCAGCAGCACTCGGGGCAGATCAGCACTGGCCAAGCAGACAGCCTGCCTCATCTCTGTGCAGGGCAGCAGCTGGTGAGGTCCACCCACTAGCCTTCTGGTTAGCAGCCAATGCTTTACCCACTGCCCCCACTCCCCCAGGACTCTAAGGCTCTCCTGCTGGTGCTAAAGTGGACCTGGAAGCAGGGAGGAGGCCCAGGGGATGATGGGAGGAAAATTCATCTGGAAGTCTTGTACAGGCCGGCCAGAACGGGTTAGCGTCATAATCCCACACAGCGGGGGCCCAGGTGCCCCTAGGGTATTCTCCGGGCCACCCTGAAGCCTCCCGAAACAATGGATGTGCTGAGTGAGCGTGGGGCAGATTGAGGTGGCTGCCTGACTTGTGTGCTGCCCCTGGGCACCTCTGCTCGAGAGCCCCTGCTCTGAGCCACACAGACTCCACAAATGCCCACTGAGGACTGTGCCTCCCACCATGTCCCGGGGCCCCTGGCAATGGCTGCTCACTGCAGCCTTCAGAGAATATCCTAGGTAGGTGGATTCGCAGTCAATGGTACAGGCAAGGCTTCCTAGGGGTGACTCAGCTCACCAGGGAGCAGATGGTGGGAACAGCAGGACCCTAGGGACCCCACAGAGGAAGAGGGGTCTCCAGAGATAAAAGGAAAATGTTTCTAGTGAGGGGACCACTTGGGCAGCCAGAGCCAGGGAATGTGAGGGCAGAGAGGGGTGCTGGAGGAGTGAGGGCACCCCCCCCCCAACACACACACACACACATGGCCTCAGCCAGCACAGGGCAGAGGTGCCCAGACGTCCTCTGAGGGTGCTGGGAGCCACGGGCCAGCTCTAGCTGGGCAAAGCGTGGACAACATCGGGAGCTGGGCTGGATGGAGCTGGTCCCCAGGGTGGCCCCGCCCTGAGCCTGCACCTTTCCCCCACCCCAGGCATCATCGACAGCACCCACACCGAGCAGCGGCAGGTGGTGGCCGTGACTGGGGACGGGACCAACGACGGGCCTGCCCTCAAGAAAGCAGACGTGGGGTTCGCCATGGTAGGGCAGCTCAGGGGGCGGGCTCTGTCTCCAAGGACTTCGGGGGTGGGGGCTGCCCTGTCAGCCTCTGCCTGGGCGGGAAGGGCTGGGAGGATCCCCCCTGAGGGAGACTGAGGCAGAGGGGTGGCAACAGGAGCTGGGCTGTGAACAGAGCGAACAGAGGGTGGGGTGTTAGAGGTGTCTGTGTGCGTCTGTGTGTCTGTGTATATATGTGGTGGGGGTGTCGGGGAATGTGTGTATGAGTGTGTGTGGGGTGTCTATGTGCATGTATGTGTATGTATGTATGGGGATGGGTGTGGATGGGTGTGTCTTTGTGTGTATGTATAGGTTTATATGTAGGGGGTATGCCTATGTATATTGCTGTGGGTATATTGGGGGTTGTCTGTGTGTGAGTGTGTGTGTCTGTGTGTATGTCTGTGTGAGTGTATGTGTGTGTGTGTCTGTGTGTATGTATGTATGTATGTGTGTGTGAGTGTGTCTGTGTTTGAGTACGTATGTGTGGGAGTGTGTCTATGTGTGTGTGTCTATGTGTCTGTGAGAGTCTGTATGTGTTTCTGTGTGAGAGCGTGTGCGTGTGTGTCTGTATGTGTATGTGTATGTGTGTGTGAGTCTATGTGTGTCTGTGTGAGTATGTGGGTCTGTGTGAGTCTGTGTGTGTGTCTGTGTGAGTATGTGTGTGTGAGTATGTGGGTCTGTGTGAGTATGTGTGTGTGAGTATGTGGGTCTGTGTGAGTGTGTGTGTGAGTGTGAGTGTGTGTGTGTGAGTATGTGGGTCTGTGTGAGTGTGTGTGTATCTGTGTGAGTATGTGGGTCTGTGTGAGTCTGTGTGTGTGTCTGTGTGTCTGAGAGTCTGTATGTGTTTCTGTGTGAGAGCGTGTGCGTGTGTGTGTGTGTGTCTGTATGTGTATGTGTGCGTGAGTGTGTGTGTCTGTGTATGTGTGTGTGTGTTTGTGTGTCTGTGTATGTGTGTATGTCTGTGTGAGTGTATGTGTGTGTGTGTCTGTGTGTATGTATGTATGTCTGTGTGTGTCTGTGTGTTTGAGTGTATGTGTGGGAGTGTGTGTGTGTGAGTCTGTGTGTGTGTGTGAGTATGTGTGTGTGAGTATGTGTGTGTGACTGTGTGTGTGTGTGTGAGTCTGTCTGTGTGAGTATGTGTGTGTGAGTATGTGTGAGTCTGTGTGTGTGTCTGTGTGAGTATGTGTGTGTGTGTGAGTCTGTGTGTGTGTGTGAGTATGTGGGTCTGTATGAGTCTGTGTGTGTGTCTGTGTGTCTGAGAGTCTGTATGTGTTTCTGTGTGAGAGCGTGTGCGTGTGCATGTGTGTCTGTATGTGTATGTGTGTGTGAGTGTGTCTGTGTCTGTGTGTATGTCTGTGTGAGTGTATGTGTGTGTGTGTGTGTATGTATGTATGTCTGAGTGTGTGTGTGAGTCTGTGTGTGTGTCTGTGTGAGTATGTGTGTGTGACTATGTGTGTGTGTGTGTGTGTGTGAGTCTGTCTGTGTGAGTATGTGTGTGTGAGTATGTGGGTCTGTGTGAGTGTGTGTGAGTGTGAGTGTGTGCATCTGCGTGTGCGTGTAGGCATGTGCCCCTGCACGGGAGGACTGGGAGTGGGGATCTTGGGGGTGGGGGGGTGGAGGCTGCGGGGCTCTGAGAGCAGCGTTGCCAGAGCCTCTGGCCTTGGTGTCCAGCTCACCTCCCCTTAGCTGCCCGCCCAGGCTCCCGTCCCTGTCCCGTAGGGCATCGCGGGGACGGACGTGGCCAAGGAGGCCTCGGACATCATCCTGACGGACGACAACTTCAGCAGCATCGTCAAGGCCGTGATGTGGGGCCGCAACGTCTATGACAGCATCTCCAAGTTCCTGCAGTTCCAGCTGACCGTCAACGTGGTGGCCGTGATCGTGGCCTTCACAGGGGCCTGCATCACTCAGGTGGGCACCCACAGGCAAGGGCCTGCCCGGGCCTGTGCGGGGGAGGGGGCCGGGTCTGTGCCAGCACCACAGGCCCGGGTGCAAGCTGGTGCCCAGCTAAGGGGCAATGCCAGGCCCATACCCACCTCTGCCTGGCGCAGGCTCAGCGCCTGTTCCTACTCACCGAGGTGGAAGAGCAACCCCCAAAGAGAAGGCAGAGGCCCACGGCCCAAAGGGAGGAAGGGGGACCGGTCCACCCCAGCTGAGGGCAGGGTGTCTGGGAAACAGCCAGGGCGGTGGGGCTGGAGGAGGGTCCTGGCTCCGTGGGAGAGGCAGGAGTCTGCCCGGGCTGTGCACTGAGCGGGGCAGGCCTCGCTGAGTGGGAACTGAGGCTCTGAGCAAAGCCTGGCCAGGCCTCTGCCTTGGCTCGATGGCATTCCGGGCGCTCAACCCCACCAGCAGCACCCCCCTCCCCCAGCAGACAAACTCCTGCCCACAGACGTCCCTGGAGGCCGACACCAGATGCCAGGCTCCCCACTGCACTCTGAGCCCTGCAAGGCCCTGACTGGGCGCCTCACCCAGACCAAGGGTCAGAGCACTGGCCTGTGGACGAGATGCTCCCTCTAGCGGCACCTTGGGGGACACCCTGTTGGCAGCAGTAACTCACCAAGGGCCTTGGAAACCAACAGATGCTAGGAACTGGGGGTCCATTTGCCTGAGTCTGTGGCTGTCGTGCCTGGGGCCTGGCAGGCCCGTGTACACGTTAGGTGGCAAGAGGAGGCACATAGCCATGGCCAGGGGGTCAGGGGGACAGGATAGCAGAGGGAGCTTCTGTGAACCTGGGCAGGGGAGGATAAGACAGGGCTTTGGCCGAGCCTGGACCGTAGCAGCTTCAAATAGTACGTGGAAATGGAATGAAAATACAACACACGTTTTCCACGAGTCTGCTGACATTCCCCATGTCTACCAGAGTGAGCTGCCTCAGGCAGCCTGTGGGCACGCACACGGAGGGCCCGGGAGTCTCACTGAGAGAGAAGGCAGGGGGCGCAGGGCAGGCGCTGCGAGTGAGGATGCAGGGTGTGGGGGCTTCCCAGTGAAGAAGGTCAAGGCCCTGGGGGCAGGACTGGGCTGGAGCATGTGGCAGTCCTGGGAGGGGTGGGATAAGCAGGGGCCGGGGAAGGGG